CACCCACTGGTCCTCAGCTACACTGATTTGTCTACCTGGTGTTACCCCTGTCAGGCCTATGTCCACCACCAGGTAGGTCCTAGGCAGACCCTTTAACCCCTGACACATACTTGCCCCCCAGCCCATCCCTATCCCCTTCTGTGATTGGGTAAAGGGAGAATACAGATCCTTCCAAAGGCTGCATCCTGATTATTTAGTATGATGTGGGGACTATGAGATAGTCTAGGGGTGGGGGTGGTTGAGGGCTGGAGTAGGGCAACCTCTTGGCTAAGGTAGAGCTGTCCTCACTCCTCTCACCTACCCTGTTCTTGCCTCCTCCTCAGGCTCTCCTAGATGTGAAGAATATCATCCACCAATATAAGTTTGGGGAGAACATGCCCCACCCACACTAAATCCCAGAATGTGCTCCCTTTTCTCTCCCTTCTGAGGCCCAAGACAGACCAGCCTTAGTTCTTTGCAACCCTTACCCTGAATGAGGGTGGCCTCTTACTCTGCCATACCCTGAATATCCTTTGAAAGTTGCCCAAGGGTGCTTATTTAAATGTACTAAATACTTTTAAGAGGACTGTGATGATCAGTCATGGACCTGCCCCTGCCTGCTGCCTATTTGAGGGGCACCACTACTCTACCCCAGGAGAGAGGGGCAGCTCAGCAGCTCCACGAGAGAGCTGAAATCACAAGGATAACATTGGAGGTGGGGCAAGTGGCAGTTATGGCAGGATTGCATATTTAATAAAATGCAAGTTATTACAAAACATGGATAAAGCCTTTTAATTTTGAGTATGTTGAGAACCCCACATCCCTAGCCAGCAGGGTTGATGGTAATGAAGGAGTGGGTAATGAGGGAGTGGGTCGTCATCAAGTCAACCCCCTGGCCATTGATTGCCCCCAGGAAATCTAATTGAAGATGCACAACTTTAATCCCAGTGACTCAGGAGGCTGAGACAGGACGATGACAAGTTGAAGGCCAGCCTCAGCAATTTAGCAAACCCCTAAGCAACTTGTTTGTTTCAAAAAAGAAACAAAGAAAAGGCTAGGGATCTAGCTCAGTGGTAAAGAGCCCCTGGGTTTAATCCCCAATGCTCCCCCCAAAAAAATAAAATAGAGAGACACTTGACTGGCTCCACTGGAGGTTAAATACATGAGAAAATGGGTGCCTGCCTTAGAAGTAGAGGCCTCACAGCCAGTCCCAGCCATGCCTTCAGTTGAGAAGATAACTCTCAGGATGTATCTTCACCAAGTCAAGGTTTCCCCATCTGTCTAACTGGCCTAATTCGTGGGTGTGGGGATGGGTTCGTGTTTAACTGGATGTGGTAGTCATGGGTAGCACCCTGGCAGAAAGTATGCCATTGATCCAAGGTAAGAATTGTTTTAGCCAAGGATTCTAGACATCTCTTCATGGTCATCTTCTGATCCCAAGATGACCACCAGAGGCCCACTTAGTCAAAAAGAAGAGGAAAGAGCAAGGACAAGGACAAGCAGCTTGGGCCCACACCCTTGTAAGAATATTAATGGATGCCATCCCCAAAACCAATCTCTTTGGTCAGAACTGTGTCTTATGATTGCCATAGCTGCAAGGGAGTCTAGGAAATTTATAACTTGCACATCCATCTCAAATCGGGTTCTTTCTACCCAGACAGAATAACCCCTTCCCTACAAGTCTTTCCCTTGGGGGAAGGACCCAGCCCCCTCCAGAGCTATCAAAAAGCCACTTCACAGACTACCTGGCCCCAAAGAAATACAAAATCCCACCTTCAGGGTCAACCCCTGGCATCCCCCTGCACACACGGACTCATCCCAAACGGAGGCGAGGCCATGGAGAGGTGCGGCGGGACCCTTGGTGGTGGCGGTGGCGGCAGCGGGTGGGGGGGACCTGGAGAGGCCTGGCCTCCCGCATCGTACCCCTGGAGAACCGCCTTCACGCCCAGGTGTCAGGTGCCCGAGGTTTGACCCGGTCAGTGGCCGCAGCAGTGGGGGCGGTGCAGGGGTTGAGGGCGGGTGGGAGGGGGGTCGAGAGGGCGGCTGCGCATGCCCACTGCCCCCGCCCCTTCGCTGCTGGGGGTCGGGGAGCCTGGCCCCCAGACCATCCTGTCAGATCCGCCCGCAGCTTCCCTGCACATCGCTTCTCCAGGACACAGGTAAGTCGGCCGTCCGTGTCCCCCACCCACAGCCTCACTCTGGCCTGGGCTGGAGTCTTCCAGCGCCAGGTTAAAGGGGACCCTTCCGGGTCCGCGGTTCTTTTTCCTGGGGAAGTGAGCCTCTTGCTCCCGGCGCTGGGTGCCGGTTCTGGCGCTGCAAAAGCAAGGACCTCTTCTCTGCATAGGACGAAAAGGAGCACCTGGGCGCCACCGTGCAAGCTGAGCCCAAAATAGAGATGCGGGGAGGAAAAAGTTTTAGGCTCTTCTGTCCCCGCTCAGGGCTTTGCACCTCGCCTCACTCAGAGGAAGGAAGTAATGAAAGTGCATGGTTGGGCGAGTTGTCCAGGTTAGTCCTGCAAGGGGGCCCTGGTACCCCAGCAGTCTCCCTCACCCAGTATGTACAGCCCCTCGGCTCACCCTCCTAGGGCAGCAAGGCAAGGCGAGGCCAGGCGGCGCGTCCCAGCAGCTCAAAGCAGGTGGCTCCAAGGGTCACAAGGACCCTTTGGGGACACTCCGATGGCATTCCCCACTGCAAGTGGCTCTGTTACTTAAGCCAAAGGCTGAAAACCCATTCTGTAGCACCTCTCTTGGGTCTGTGTGACCTGGGGTCAGTTCCTGTCCCTTCGCTTCTATGAGTTCGCTTTTCCTCATCGATTTGATGGGTAGGGTGACCCTAAGCTCGACCTCCCCCTAGTCGCGAAGACTAGATGAGTGTGGGCACTTCTGGGCTCACCCTGCCTCTACTGAGTGCCACACTTAGGGGTCAGTACCGAAGCCACCAGCGCTATCTCTAAGAGGGAGAAGCTCTTCTCACACTTCCCCCACCGCTGGCCGTGGCACCCCCTGATTTCCAGCTTCTCAGGCCCCAATCTTGGAGATGGAGATGTCCTTGCCTGATCCCCTGCCTTTATTTTTTTTTATTTATTTATTTTTTTTGGCGGTGCTGGGGATAGAACCCAGGGACTTGTGCATTCAAGGCAAGCACTCTACCAACTGAGCTATATCCCCAGCCCTGATCCCCTGCCTTTAAATCTCTTAAGAAAGTCAGTTCCACCACATACCTATTTTATATATATAAAACACACACACACTCACACAGGTCCAGACTGTTGACTGTTTTGAACTTCCAAGAATGTCATAGATGGAGGGACTGAAGGCAAATGGGGTTTTCAGTGGACAATACATCTTTGTTTGGGTGTGATGTAGATAGGCCCTATGCATAAATAAATTCTGAATTTTCTAAAAAAAAAAAAAAGAAAAGAAAAGAAAGTCAGTTCCAGATTGGGCATTTAGCTCAGTTGATAGAGTGCCTGCCTCGCGTTCACAAGGCCCTGGGGTCAATCCCCAGCACCAAAAAAGAAAGAAAGAAAGAAAGAAAAAGTAAAAAAAACAAGTCAGTTCCATCTCAAGAGTAAACCAAATCCCGAAGTCTCCTCCCTACCTGCACTGGTACTGCCACCATCTCCAGCCCCCCCCCCCCCCACCCACACACACACACACTGCTGCTGTTTACTTCCCTCCCCACTATCTGTCCTCATGGGTTTTCTCCCTCTTTCTTTTCCCAGTGTGAACCCCCAAAGCTCCATTTTCTGCTTGTTTTTCTCATCCTGCCCCCCTCCCTTTCTGGGCAAGCACTTCCAAGCGACCATTTTCTCGGCGTTCTGCATCCCTCCCCCATCTCGCCCTCCAAATCCCGAACTCCACTAAAACTCCCAGGGAAACGTGGAGCAACCGTCCCCAAACTCTGCCCGGATTTTTAGAGAAAATTGCGGTAATAGCCATCATGGTGCACTTTGAGGGAGCTTCCCAAACCGGAAGTGGAGGTTCATTCAATGAGTTAATGGTGATTTGCTATTAATAGGAACACAAATTGAGCACCTGCTGTGTGACTATCCCCCTCTAATATGCAAGACAGTTTCCTTATTTATCATGTTTATTGCCTTGCACAGCTAGAGTCTAATGCTCCCTGGGCCAGGAGTTGGGTGTTGTTTTGTTCTGTGCCTTTTCACAATGCCTCACATACAGGAAAATCCATTAATTAGACAATGGGACATTGAATAATAATAAAAATGCCTAACATTAATCCAGTACCTTCAGCATGGTGATCACCTACTACTGAAATACATTTTACTTTTTTTTTTTTACTTATTTATCTTATTGTTGTCAGACAACAGTGTGAAATTATAGACAGCAATGTAGAATAAGACTAAAATTCTAAAGAAAATGGTTAGTAGGCTACATACTTCCCTCATTTATTTGGTTTATTCTCTTTTAAATAATAATGCCCTTTTAGAACATAAACCCCTTGAGGGTGGGGATATTCTGAACAGACTACTGCCTGACAGGCATTGACCTGGGGTGGGGTTCAATGGTACCCCAAATAAACAAAATCCTGCCCTCCCTCTGCAATGGGTAGGGACTGTTGATGGGTATGGGAATTCTTTTCTGAGTAACAAAAATGTTCTAAACTTCACACAATTCTATGAGTATGATAAATCCATTGAACTGTACATTTTTTTTAAAGAGAGAGAGAGAGAATTTTAATATTTATTTTTTAGTTATCGGCAGATACAACATCTTTGTTTTGTATGTGGTGCTGAGGATCGAACCTGGGCCGCACGCATGCCAGGCAAGAACGCTACCGCTTGAGCCACATCCCCAGCCCCTGAACTGTACATTTTAACTGGGGGAACTTCACAGGATGTAGATTGTACCTCAGTAAAGCTGTTTGGAAAATTCTGCCTTGGCACTAAGGAGTTAACCCAGTACTAGGTGAAGCCATGAGTTTGATCCTAGCACCCCCAAAAGAAAAGGAAAAATATTTCCTTCACAGAGGTTCTCTCTGAGGAAGAAGGGGGGAGACCAACATAAATAATGTATGCATATTAGGAAGTAATCAGCACACAGTAGGCACTCCAAATGTTGATTCAGTGACACCCAGATATCCCAGTGCCTCATATCCCTTGTTGTCTTTCTTCCAACTTGACAGAGCCTACTGTTCTCTCTTCCCTGAGCTGCCTGTTTTGGGGCATGGAACTGCCAACAAAGCCTGATGTCTTTGACCTGGGCCTGGGCACATGGAACCCCAGCTCAAAGGAGAGTCGAGAGGCTTGGTCACACCGCAAGGGTGTTGGCAAGCGACTGCCTGAGTACAAGGCGGTGGTGGTGGGTGCAAGTGGCGTAGGCAAGAGTGCATTGACCATCCAGATGACCCACCAGTGCTTTGTGGAAGACCACGACCCCACCATCCAAGACTCCTACTGGAAGGAGGTAGCCCTGGACCGGGGGGGCTATATTCTGAATGTGCTAGACACTGCAGGGCAGGAAACTCACAGGGCCCTGCGTGACCAGTGCTTGTCAGTTGGTGATGGTGTGCTAGGTGTCTTTGCTCTCGATGATCCTTCATCTCTGACCCAGCTGCAGCAGATATGGGCCACCTGGAGTCCTCGCCACCCCCAGCCCCTAGTCCTGGTGGGCAACAAGTGTGACCTTGTGACCACCACTGGAGATGCTCATGCTGCTGCTGTAGCCCTGGCTCAAAGCTGGGGAGCCCCATTCGTGGAGACCTCAGCTAAGACCCGGCAAGGTGTGGAGGAAGCCTTTTCCCTGCTCATCCAAGAGATCCAAAGGGTCCAGAAGGCCATGGCAGTGTCACGTGAGGAGAAGTCCCAGCACCAGAAGGCCATGTGCAGCTGTGGCTGCTCTGTGGCCTGAAGATATAGGTCTGGAAAGATGGCTTCTCCCACAGGCCAGGGTGATGATTCCTTTAATATGAGACACCCCCTATCAACTAGTATCATGGACACTGTTGGTGTAATGGGCATAGATGGACACACTTCAATTAACTTTCATTTGGTGAGGTGTTTTTTTTTTTTTTTTTTTTTTTTTGGCAACACGGGGGTTTCTAATGTTGGCTATGTTATGTCAAATTGAGAGATTTTTGTGCAAAATTAAAATGTTCTCAGGTTTCAAAGCTGCCTCCATGCCAAGTGTTATGTGGGTGGGAGTGAGACTGGGTAGAATGATACTTGAATTATGGGAATTCTTTCATTCAAGAAATTTGGGGAAGGCCAGGCATGGTGGTGCATGCCTGTAATCCCTGCAGCTTGGTTGGCTGAGACAGGAGGATCATCAATTCAAACCCAGCCTCAGCAACTTAAGGAACTCAGTGAGACCCTGTCTCTAAGTGAAATATAAAAAAGGTCCGGGGATGTGGCTCAGTGGTTAAATGCCCCTGGGTTCAATCCCTGGTACCCAAAAAAAATAAATAAATTTGGGGGATCCCTCTGTGTACCAGGCCCTGCTTTGGGTACATTGATTGCACCTCAGTGCAAACAATACACATGAAAACCGTCTTTGTATATATACTGCCACTGTTCAGTGCATAGAAGCACAGACTGAGTAGGCAGTATCTCTAAAGTGCAGGACCCAGGGAAAGAGTCCCTCTGCCCTGTCTAGGGGAAGCCCTTAGCAACTGCCAGTCACAGACAAACAACTGCTTCAGATCCTGTTTATTGTAGGGCCAGGGTGGGGATCTTGGGGTTGGAGGAGTAAGCTGCTCAACGTGCTGGCAGGGTGAGTCCTGTGTCCAGGTGGCTGGGGCACTCCTGGGTTCCAAGACACAGGTTGTGGGCTGAGCTCAGGGCGGCAGGAGGCGGCGCGCAGGCGCCTGGGGCTGGGGGTTCTCCAGGCGTTTCACGCGCAGCAGTGCCCCCAGTACACCCTCAGGCGGCGCCTCTGGGCCCAGATCCTGGTCTGCCGCGCGGCGGAGGCGGCGCGGGACAGCAGCCGCAGCCTCGGGCTCTGGGCTTCCAGTGAGGATCCGCCCCAGCAAGTACCTTAAGGACCAAGAGGAATGCAGTAAGCCTGTGTCCGCAATCGTCACTGCTGTGGCCAGGACCCCGGACAGCGGGACCCTGTAACCTCAGACTTCCGGATCCCTCCTCACCCAAGGGTCCCCAGCCCAGAGCTTTCAGGAGACAAGAGGTCCTCCCCTCCCGTACCAGAAACTATGAATTCCCGCCTCCCTCTTCTGGCAGAAAACGGGCGATCAGGGTCTCTCCTCAGGACCCGAAGTCAACCTACCATTCAATCTGTGCCCCACATTCAGGATCTCAGTTCTCCCTCCTAGGACACCAGAACCCTTGTCCATCCCCAGGATTTCGATGTTCTCGCCTCCACGGGATGAAGCGGCCCCACAGTCCCTAGTCCCCGCTCTCCCAAGAGGCTGATGACCATCCCAACCCTCCCTTTGCCCAGCACCTCAGTAGCTCCGGGTCCACATCAGGTGTCTCCTCTCCAGTGTCCTCGGCATCCGGGCCAGTGGGGCCGTCGTCATAGACTGGAGGCCGGGGACGAAATGCAGCGGCGGGTGCCGGCGCGGGGACAAGCTGGGCTGCGAGGGCGGCAGGGTCAAGGCGAGCGCGAAGCAAAGCGCGGGCAAGCTGCGCGGCGGGCGCGTCGGGGTCGTCGTCCAGGCCGAGTGGCGGGTCAGAGGCACGGGGAGAGCCCCAGACGCGGAGCAGCTGCGCCAGAACTCGCGCCTGCTGATCCTCAGCCTCCTGAGCCTCGGCCCGAGCCCGCTCCTGACGCTCCGCTTCCAGCAGGTGCGCCAGCGCCCGCGCCAGCTCCTGCACCGCACCCGCCGCCTCTCCTCGGGGCACCGACCGACGGAAGCGGCGGGGAGTGCCAGCCTCAGTCATCGGCGGCGACGCTGCACTCAGGCTGCGGGGCTCCTGCAGGAAGATGAATTGGGTAGAAGATATTGTTCAGCGTCCATCAGGCCTGGGACTTCTACCCGGGGGTGGGATGGGGGCTCCTTGGACCCTTAAATATCCACCAAGCCACGAGTCCTCCCAAATACCCAAACACCTCCAAGGCCACAAGAGACCCACCAAATATCTCTAGACACACTTAAGACCACCACAGACCCCTCGACCCCATTCCCAGTTCTGCCTTCCTGACTCTCAGAACTTGCCTTGGGGTGGCTGGAGACGGGATCTCATACTTTTCTAGTGGGAATTAAATTGGCAAAATAATTTTGAAGAGCAATTTGGCAACGTGAAAAAAGAAGTATATATGCTATGACCCATTTTGCACATATACTATTGGACATGGGTTTGTGAAAGATGACAACAGCACTTTGTAATAGCATAAATGTGGAGGCTAGGCAACTTAGTGAGATTCTATTTCAAAATTTAAAAAAGGGCTGGGTATAGTAGAACAAAGAAAAAGAAAAAACGGGGGCTGGGTATGTTGCTCAGTGGTGGAGCTCCCCTGGGCTTAATCCTCACAGGGGGGAGGGGAAAGGGAGGCGGAAAAAAAAGACCTGGAAACAACTCAATTGTCCACTTATTGAGAATGCATATAGATGCATGATAGGACATAATATTATGCAGCAATAAAACTAAGTGGATTATAACTACACACCTCAATACGAATGAATCTCACCACCAAAGTAGAGCCAACTTTTCTTTTTAAAGAGGCAAGTTTTGGCTGGGGGTGTAGCTCAGTGGTATACCACTTGCCTAGTATGTGCAAGGCCTTGAGTTCAATCCCCTAGCACCCAAAAAGAAAAAGAAAATAAAGAAAAAAATAAAAAGGCAAGTTCCAGAATCCCACTGCAGACGTCTGAGAATACCAGGCACGCAAGGACTTCTTAGTGACCCCTAGTGACTACCAGGAGGCAGGTGCCCAGTTTTATTCCATTTTTATGATGTACCAAAGCAGGAAAAACTAAAAAATAAATTGTTTAGAGATATATACATATGTGATGAGGAATCAATGGACAGAAAATACATGATAATGAATGAGGGGGATAAAGACATCAGGGGAGGGACACATAGGGGCTTCTATTATTGGTCATACTCTATTTCTTAAGCTGTGTCGTGGGTATGCAATGGGTTATTTTATCATTATTCTTTACAATTTTACATATATGTTAACTATATTGTTGAATATAAAAATATTTAATAATATTAAAAATCTTCCATCCTTATTCAGACATAAAGTGCTAGAGGATGAAGCTGCTGCAAGAGCTCTTGGTTGGTGCCCACCACCCCTCAGCCCCAGAGGAATTACTCACCATTAATCACAGTCTCCCCCACCCCGCATGAACTGACAACCCTTGAGGTGTCATATTTGCAACCCAACACTGCTACATCCACATGTAAATTACAGCACACATTCACATCTACATTTGCTCAAGCAGTTACACTCTCCAAGCCACACAGGTGCAAGGACATGCACCACCCTTAAAGACACAAAGCAGCAGAGACATCATGGCTCCTCTCTCCGCAATGACACAGCTCCACGAAGCAGAAAGAAACAGCCTCATGAACATTACTACAAAATCTCAGGCACTCAATCCAATAGAACCAAGATGGAATGTGCACACCAAGAGACAGGACCCACTCCTCTGAAATAACAAAATCATGCAGACACACTCAAGCACACAGAAAGCCACGCCCATAAGCCATGCCATCACACATAAGGAATCACAAATACATACACACACGGTGTCAATGAGAAAGCAATCAGGTCCACACACCCACAAAAAAAGTCCCAGAAGCAACTCCAGTATCACACACGCTACACAATCACGCAACTTAGCAGGATCCTCAGAAGCTGTCAAACCCAAGGACACACATTCACATATTAAAACACCCCCACATCACTGTCATCACATCTCATGCACACATGCCGATACGTGCACACCCTGCCAGAATTCTCCCTAGTGCCATGCCAGTGCCACATTCTGAGGGCGGGACAACACAAGGCCTGGCCTGTTATGCGGTGGGATGGGCAGGGCGCGGCTGCTGGCAGAGCCCAGGAAAATGCCACCCGCACACGCACAGACCCAATCTGGTCTCTAGTGTGTCAGCCTGGCCTTCCCATGTACCAGCGGCTGGAGCCTGGACCACTCTTGACGATCTCCTCACATCCCTAGAGCTGGCTCAAGCAAGGATGTGGCACTGACCATCGCCCGCAGCATCCTTCTCCCCACCCCCACCCCGCTCTGGACTGGGGTCGCACCTTTACCGGCCGCGCGCAAAGCGCGGGGGGCAACAGAAGAAGGCCCAGCAGCAGCAGCACCAAAAGGCCGACGCCCCCGGCCCGCGGCCCGCGGAGCAGTGGCGACCCCGCCATGCTGCCCCTGCGAGCCGGGCTCCGGACGGGCGAACTGGCTGGCAAGTGCGCAGCGTCGGGCTATGGGGCACAGCTGCGGTGCTCTGCGACTGCGCACGCCCAGGATCCAGGCCCCCTCCTGCCCACCCGGTCCTGCCACTCTACGCACGCGCATCCTCAGGGCTCTGGCAGCTTCTGTATCCCGCACATCGCCATGGAAATACCCAAGGGGCAAGGTGGAGAGCTGGAGCCTGTGCTGGCGGTTACCATGGCAGTTGGAGGGCAGTTGCTAGGGCAACAGACCATGCTGTTGACTTAGCAGACAGGGAAAATTAACTCAGTGGAGTGAAATGGGGGCTGGTCCCCACCTCTGCCTTCTTGGGGAGATGGACTTTGTTTACTGGGTAAACAGCTATGAGCTGTCTCTTGTGGGCCAGACCTTTTACAAAGAGATGGGTTCCATCCAGGTGGAGTGACCCTGGACAGCTCAGTTCTCCATGCTCAGCCCTGACTTGCAATAAGAGTGTTTCTAGTAAATCCAATATTAGGATGACTTTTAAGGTTTAATAACAATGATATTCAGTAGGAGCTCAAGAAATGCTCCTTTCCATCCTCTTCTTGTCTCTTCACCAGTATTTTTTTAATCTCTCCATGGCTCTCTGCATTTCTTTCTGTCTTTATGCTCCCATTGCTGTCTTCCTCTCCCCATCTGTCTCTCCTTAGCTGGCTATTTTCTGTATTCATGTCTCCAACATCCTCCTGCCTCTGTCTTAATTTACTGTCAGTACATGCTTGTTTTTCTATAAATAGATACCTACATAAATTTGTGTCCATATATTGTTTCAGAAAGAATTTCAAGCCACTTAAATGATACATCAGGGGCTGGGGGTTTAGCTCAGTGTTGGGGCATGTGCTTAGTTAGCATGTGCAAATCTCTGGGTTCAATCCTCAGCACAAAATAGAAAAGAGGGCTGGAGTTGTGGCTCAGTGGTAAGCACTTGCCTGGCATTTGTGAGGCCCTGGGTTCAATCCTCAGCACTGCATATAAAAATTAATTAATTAATTAATTAATTGAATAAATAAAAGATCCATTGACACCTAAAAACATTTTTAAAAATAGAAAAGATACATCAAAGGAAATAAGATTTTAATAAAATATATGTATATTCCATAAGAAAAAATGTTGAGAATATTGGCAGTAGTTATTTCTGGGTGGGGAGATAATCAGTGATTTGCATTTTCTCCTTTATGCTTTGTTGTCTGAAAAGAATGTTACAATGAATGTTAGAATTAGATAAAACAATAAATATATTTTGTTTGGGAATTAAGACAAAATATGATGACAAGGCTTAAATTATAAATAAAGAAGAGAAAGATGTGGCCATATGATTGAACATTTATCTAATCCATTGATTCTGTTTTCATGTCTTCATGTCTTGGGTATCACAAACAACAGACAATGAAAATCCTTACCCACATCCCTTTATGGAGCTGATGATTATACACCTAGGAACGGTATAATGGACAAACACTTATGGTAGCTCCCATGCTCACCACCTTCTGGTGATCATGTCTTTGCATGATCAATTGTGACTAACTGTATGTGCTCACATGGAGGTGATTATATTTAAAAATAAGGTTGAGGGCTGGATTATAGCTCAGTTGGTAGAGTGCTTGCCTTGCATGCACAAGGCCCTGGGTTCAATCCCCAGCACCACAAAAAAGTAAAATTAAATTAAATTTAAAAATCAAGAAAGGATTAGATGTTCCTCTAGACTACTGGCCCTGGCTGTGTGTGGTGGTGCAAGCCTGTAATCCCAGAGGCTTGGGAGGCTGAGACAGGAGGACCGCAAGTTCAAAGCCAGCCTCAGCAACTGCGAGGCACTAAGCAACTCAATGAGACCCTGTCTCTAAATAAAATACAAAATAGGGCTGGGGATGTGGCTCAGTGATTAAGCACCCCTGAGTTCAATCCCCCATACCAAAAAAAAAAATTAAATAAAATTAAAAATAAGGTTAAAATAAGGGGACTTATACTCCCTTGCTGGCTTTGATAAAGCACGTGGCCACTACGGGAAACCTGAATAGCAAAGACTAGAGGCTGGCCTCTAGGAGTTGAGATGGCCTCCAGCTGACATCCACCTAGACCGAAGCCCTCAATTCTATTACTGCAAGAAACTGAATTCTGCTTCTAAGTGGATCCTTCCCCAAGTCAAGCCTCAGATGACACAGGAGCCCTAGTTAACATCTTGATTTCAGCTTATGAGACCCTGAGCAGAAAATCCAGCTAACTCATACCTTGGTTCCTGACCACAAAAACTGAGATGTTTGTTGTATGTACTGTATATTTTGTGATGCTGGTGATATAACCCAGGGCCTTCAGCATGCTAGTACTCTACCACTGAGCCAAATCCTAGCCAAGAAGGTTGTTTAAAGTTTTAGGATTTGTGTTAATATTGTCATATAACAACAGAAAACTAGTCTAAATAATCCTCTCTGAAGAAAAGGCTAAAACTCCATTGAAATGTATAAAACATTATATGAATAAATGAAGACACATTTCAAGACTATTAAATATTATGAAAAAAAATTGAGGCTGGGCATGTTGCTACATGAATATATAATCCCAGCAAATTGGAGGCTGAGTCAGGAGAATTGCAATTTCAAAGCCAGCCTCAGAAACTTAGCTAGGCCCTAAGCAACTTAAAAAGACCCTGTGGCAAATTTTAAAAAATAAATAAATAAAAATGGCTGTGGATGTGGCTCAGTGGTTAAGCATACCTATGTTTAATCCCTAGGACCAAAAAAAAAAAAAAAAAAAAGATTTTGAGACAAGGTCATGATATGCTATCCAGGCTGGCCCCAAATTCAAGGACTCCTCTTGTTTCAGCCTCCCAAGTAGCTAAGACTATAGGTACACAAAACTGTGCCTGATAACATTATGAAGATTTAATTTCTTTTCAAATTAATATATAACTTCAATACATGCTCAATTTAAATGTTTGCTGAATATTTTAAGGTCAATAAAATTTATTTTAAAATCTATGTAAGAGTCCACCCAAAAGTTTTACATGAATGTTGTTCAAAACACCACTATAAATAATAGCCAAAAAGTGGAAGCAACCCAAATATCCATGAATTAATAAATGGAAAAAAAATGAGGCTGGGCACAATGGCACATGTCTGTAATTTCAGCAACTTGGGAGCCTGAGGCAAGAGAATCACAAGTTCTAGGGGAGTCTTAGCAACTTAGACACTGTCTTAAAACAAAATAACAAAAAGGACTGGGGATGTAGCTCAGTAGTAGAGTTCATGCCTAGCACGCTTAAGACCCTGAATTCAATTCCAAGTATTACAAAAACAGAAACAAAGCAAAGTGAGGTATAGCCATACAATGGAATATCACTTGGTCATAAAAAGGAATAAAGTACTAATATATGCTACAACATGGATGATCCTTGGAAACATACTTAAAGAAGACAAACACAGCCAGATGCCGTGGCATATGCCTGTAATCCCAGCAGTTCAGGAGGCTGAGGCAGGAGGATAGAGCGTTCAAAGCCAGCCTCAGCAAAAAGCGAGGTGCTAAGCAACTCAGTGAGTCTGTATCTCTAAATAAAATACAAAATAGGGCTGGGGATGTGGCTCAGTGGTCAAGTGCCCCTGAGTTCAATCCCTGGTACAAAAAAGAAGAAGGAGGAGGAGGAGGAGGAGGGGAGGAGGAGGAGGGGAGGAGGAGGAGGAGGAGGAGGAAGAGGAGGAGGAGAACACAAAAAGCCACACATGGCATGATTCTATTGACGTGAAATGTCCAGAATAAGCAAATCCATAGAGATAGAAATTTGATTAGTGGTTGCCAGGATTTGGTAGGGGAGGGAAATACAATGAAGAATGACTGCTGATGAGCGCAGGGTTGTTTTGAGATGATTAAAATGTTCTGGTTAGATACTGGTGATAGCTGTACAACTTCATAAATATGCTAAAAACCATAATATTGCATACTTTAAAATGTTGAACTTTAGCTGCACACAGTAGCATATACCTGTAATCCCAGTGACTTGGGAGGCTAAGGCAGGAGGTCCACAGGTTCAAATCCAGCCTCAGCAAGTCAGCAAGACCCTAAGCAACTCAGTGAGAGCCTGTCTCTAAATAAAATACAAAATAGGGCTGGGGATGTGGCTCAGTGATTGAGTGCCCCTGAGTTCAATCCCTGGTAACTTCACTCCCCCCCAAAAATAGACCCTGTATCAAACAAAAATTTAAAAAGCATTGGGAATGCTACCCAGTGGTTAAGCATCCCTGGGTTAAATCTCTGGTACACACACACAAAAAAAGTTGCACTTTATGTAGATTATTTAGATCTCAATAATTACATAAATATATACATAAAACTACCATTTAACCCAGCTATCACACTCCTTAGTCTATACCCAAAGGACTTAAAATTAGCATACTATAGTAATGCAGCCACATCATTGTTTATAGCAGCTCAATTCACAATAGCTAAATTGTGGAACCGACCTAAATGCCCTTCAATAGATGAATGGATAAAGAAACTGTGGTATATACACACACAGTTAAATATTACTCAGCAATAAAAAAAAGAATAAAATTATGGCATTTGCAGGTAAATACATCCAGTTGGAGAATATCATGCTAAGTGAAATAAGCCAATCCCAAGAAACCAAAGGCCAAATGTTCTCTCTGATAAGTGGATTATGATCCATAATGGGGGGCATGGGAAAAATGGAGGAACTTTGATTGGGCAAAGGGGAGGGAGGGGACAGGAGAGGACATGCGGGCAGAAAAGATGGAATGAGATGAATATCATTACCCTAGGTACATGTATGTAATGGTACATCGTGTACAACCAGAGAAATGAAAAGTTGTGCTGCAATTGTATATGATGAATCAAAATGCATTCTACTGTCATATATATCTAATTAAAATTAATTAATTACTTAATTTGAAATTAAAAAAATAAAAAAGGGAAAATAAATAAATACATAAATAAAGTTATATTGGAAAACAGTCATGTTCATCCATCCAAAGACAGTATATAG